TATATATATATATATATATACATCATTGAGCTGAGTGCACCCACAGCACCGCTAACGCACCCAAAATGTATTCCACTGGAGACTGGAGTGCCACTGGCCTTATTGAAAGACTGTTTAGTACAACAGGACAGATTTTCTCTCCCAAAAGAGCCAGACTGAACTCAAAACACTTTGAAAACCAACTTCTTGTGAATTTGAACAAGAAATTCTTGCTGCAATATTAAAATGTGTCAGTTCATGATGTTAGGAGACAATAGATGTCTCCAAATGTCTCAACACTCAGGTCCAAGTTTTAAAAATGGTGTCAGGAAGTTAAAATATTGTTCAATATTGACCCATTACAAGGTTGACTAGACAAGATTTTAACTAGAGTTGATGACAAACTGGAGGTGAAATGATCAGATATTCCTTTGTTAGGTGTGTGTAATGCTACTTACTGCAGTTAAAATGACACATTGGTTTTGATTTGTGTTAAATAAAAACTTTCAAAAGTAAAATCATTCCTCTTTCTCATTTTGCTTAATGGCATTTAACTCTGCAGGTCATCCCTGAAATTCTGACACACAGAATCACAAGTCCAAGTGTGAACTGTGTCACAGAGTAAACACAATAAAAACATGTATTATCTGCAGCATTGTTCATTAAAATGGAACAACACTATTAATGTATTACAGAAAATATACATATGGTAGGTACTTAAAGATGTGTAGACCATTGCATTAGATAATACATTCAGCTACTTTTAATACTTTAAGTATTTTTAAAAGCAAGCACTTACTTTTACTTATGTAAAACCGTTAAAGTGGTACTTCTACTTTTACTAGAGTACATTTTTGTCTGTTTATTTGTACTTTTACTTAAGTACAGTGTCTGAGTACTTTCTCCGTCACTGGTTACATTGTAACTTTGGTTAATGAAGTGGAGAGACTCTCACCAACCATTCTTTACTGTCTTGAGACTTTAACGTGTTTCATTTGTATGGAGTAACTCTTTAAGTCACCCCATGCAGCCCACAAGCCTGATGCAATAAGCAGTTCAGATGCACTAATCGGACAGATGTACTGCGTATCCACCAACCAGAACATGACTTCAGAACAGAGATGTGTGAACAATGAGGATAAGGAACAGAAGTCACAAAGGTGCAGGACTTCAAGTACTTGGAGTCCACTAAAATGAAAATGTGGAGTGTGGTAAAAAAGAAGGTGAAGAAGAGAGTCCAGGCAGGATTGAGTGGATGGAGAAAAGTTTCAGGAGGGGTTTGCTACAAAAGGGTGTCAGCAAAGGTCAATGGAAAAGTTTACAAGACCGTGATGAGACCAGATATGTTGTATGGTCTGGAGACAGAGACATGGACAAAAAGACAGGAGAAAGAACTGGAAGTAGCAGAAATGAAGATGTTGAGGTTCTCCTAAAGAGTGACAAAGATGGACAGAATGAGATCATCAGAGGTACAGCACAGGTTGAACAACTGGGAGATAAAGTTAGAGAGGCCAGACTGATATGGTTTGGACATGTCCAAAGGAGGGACAGTGGGTATACTGGTAGAAGAATGATAGAAATGCAGCTGCCAGGAAGAAGACAAAGAGGAAGTCTAAAGAAGAGATATATGGATGCAGTTAGAGAGGAAATGGAGGTAGTAGGGGTGAGGCCAGAGGATGCAGAGGACATGAGGAGGATGACTCGCTGTGGCGACCCCTGAAGAGGGAACAACTGAAAGAAGAAGAAAAAGGTGAGGGATGAATGATAGACTGAGCTTAGTTCAGATCTCAAAAGTATGACAAAGTCCTGGAAGTAAAGCAGAAAGACATAAATTATGAAACGGTGGTGCCTCATTCTGAAAATGTTCAATGACAGCCAGAGAATCAACAGGTTTCCCTCAGTCTTTATAAACTTGCATTAACAGCAGCATCTACAACTGGAAAGTTTTTAACCAAATTAAAAGGGAGAACAATGCTGACTATTCTTGAAATTTCAACATCTTTCTCCCACAAAGCCCAACAGGAGATTGGAAATTATTTTCATTACAATCTATGTCATAAAAAAACAGTGTTCATGTGTAAAATGTATTGAAAAAAGTAAAAAGAACCAGTTGGTAACCACACACTGTGTTCCTCATTCCCTGACAGAACTCGTTATGAGACAGACAGGAACACAGGGCTACAAATAAGGCTTTGAACAATCACAGTGCAAATGCACTTTAGTTGGTACGGAAGGGAACAGTAAGCTAAGCGTTTTCTCTCAAAGATGTAAATGCAAATTATAAAGAAGTGTTTTAACTGGAAGAATAATGGACAAATAATCAGATGAGAACATTTACTTTTATGTACAGCACTTATTGACCATGTTTTCAGTTCTCATTGCCATCCTTTTAATTTCTAAATTTAAATATTTATTTTTAAGCTGCATTGTGATTGAAATAAGATAACTTAAAATTTGAATTACACTTTCCAAACCCATTCACAGAGCACAAAATGACTAGATCATACTGGGACACAATAGTATGTTTTACAGCTTTAAACTGGTCAAGTGCTGACTCACACGGGTTAATGATTCAAATCACTGAATCAGGACTCGTGAGTTTGAGGTCTCTATTAACTCGGATCCTAAATGTCCCCAGGGAGACTATATCCATAAATTGGAGGACTTGCCAAAAAACAACAACAACAAAAAACCCAGCTGAATCCTTGTTATTCAAGTTAAAGACTCACAAGAAAAATGCTGCAGAACAAGACTAGTTGTGTCTGATTTGGGTTAAAGACTCACCAGAAAAGCACTGTGGACTTTGATGAGTCGAGTCGCTGATTCGAGTTAAAGATTCACTGGAACACTGTGACTCAGAAACGTAAGGATCATCTTTATTCATTTATTTTGATAGCGTCATTAAATTGATTTAAGTGAACTGGCTCGCTTCATTAAGTGACAGATTAATAAGTGAACTCTGAAAGCGGGAACGTGAGCTCTCAAACCCCGCCCACCCGCCACGTCAAGCATCGTCCGCGAGCCCATAAACGGAGCGCACCCTGTGGTCCCTCTGACTGGCTGTCGGAGGCAGAGATAAACAAAGAGCCGGCGACTTTTAGGCACATCAGTCCCCGCTCCTCAGGCTCCTCGGGAACATGGAAGCTGGTAGGTCGGGTCTCACAAGTTTCTGGTTCCGTCGGGTCGATTTCTCTTTCTGTCGACTATGAGCAAAACGAAACGTTCCTCTTGTAGCTGGAGGCTGACAGCTGCTGGAGCTAAGCGGCTAAAGCTAGCGTTCATTCAGCGCGTTAGCCATGCCGAATAAGTTCACCTCAGTTCTGTCAGTAAAGATGACAGCTGAAGATAAAAACGCCGGGAGGTTGTCACAGACAGACAGACTCTGGAAACAGGAACTAACCAACCATTACCAGTGAAAGATGTCCGATAGAAGAACTACAAGTGTTAGCCTGAATTAGCCGGCTAGTTCAAAACGAAACTGTCAAAAACCAGTAGCGGGAATTTGCTTGTCTCATCTGTTTTTATGTTAATTTTATTATGCTGTGTACATGTCACTTCACCTGAAAACAGCTTCGTAATTCAGGTTTTATGTCTCAGTCTACGTTTAAAGGAGAATTATTATATGTTTTTACCCGTGAACTGGTTAAATCACCTCAAACGCATCATCAATGCATTATAATACATTCTGTTATTATGACGAGGCACATTATAACATTTTCATTACCTTTGTTTAAACTCCAGCAGGGGTCCATATATTTCAGACCTTGGCACATGCAGCCATGACTGGAACAACAAAGTGCTTACTTTGTATAAAAGCAGTTGTAAAACCACTCGCGTGTAAATGTGCAAGTCACCCAGGCTGGGTCCGCCTGGCCCCACTCCATAGAAAACCACCGTGCTCTTTGCTCTTCCAGTTCATGCTTTCATTTGTTCAACAGCCTGAACACGCACCCAAACCTGCCTTTCTGTAGGATCTGCTTCAACCAGCACCCTACCTGTGTTGGGTCTATGTGGTCCTGCTTTGTCATTTCATAGATCTGATGAACTTGTAAGTAAAAAATGAGTGTAATGAAGTTTGACACCGTTCTGAGCTGCTGGTTTCAGCTCTGTGTCGATGGAAAATAACAGAATGCAGCTGAGACAGAGAGAAAGGTCGAACTCTTGGCCTCATGCATGACTAGGCAATGTCCCTGTCCATGTTTAATTGCTCAGTGCTATTAACAGAATTACACACTGGTTCCCGTTTGGTTCTGTCAAAGTGCGTGCCCCGCTGTGCTTCATCCAGCAGGACCAGACTGGCCTTTCCAGTGTGTTCCTCTCACACATGGAGCCAGGTCAGTCCTAACAGCCCACTCTGATCTGCACTTGTTCAATATCCACTCTCGATTATCTGCCCTTCCTTATTACTGTGTTCTCTGTCAGAGCTCTTTTCAATTGGCTTCTTTAACTTTAATAAGTTGTTCTTCTGGGCAGCACGGTGGCGCAACTGGTAGAGCTGCTGCCTCTCAGCGAGCAGGTCCCTGGTTCAAATCCCGGTCCGGGGGCCTTTCTGGGTGGAGTTTGCATGTTCTCTCTGTGCATGCGTGGGTTTTCTCCGGGTACTCTGGTTTCCTCCCACAGACCAAAAACATGCATGTTAGGCTGATTGGTAACTCTAAATTGTCCCTAGGTGTGAGTGAGAGAGTGAATGGTTGTTTGTCTCGTTTGTCTCGATGTGGCCCTGTGATGGACTTGCGACCTGTCCAGGGTGTACCCCGTCCCTCACACAGTGATTGCTGGACATGGGCACCAGCGACCCCCGTGACCCAAAATGGAAGAAGCGGGTAAAGATAATGGATGGATGAATGGATGGAAGTTGTTCTTTTATCACCCACTGATGGTTGATGGAAAATGTGAAGCTCCAGACCGTTAAAGGAAGAGGTGTTGGCTTACATCTATTGATCTGGCATTTTCTCAGAAAAGTACAGAGACGCCTGAGGACGGGAGTGCTCGTAAGTCAAATCTCAAATGGGAAGTGTGTCGGCCCAAAGTGCACCGATGAGTCATGGGAATTATGAACAAAGGAAACCTATTGCTTTCTATCTCTCTTTGCCTTTCGTCCTTTTATTCCTGTTGTACTCTGTATTTTTTAAAGGTCTGAGTCAAGAGAAGGTATCCACCTTTGCTAAACGTTTGCGGTCCGAGCCACGTTACCTGTTGGCCCAGAATGTTTCGACTTGCATCGACCCGTTGGAGGTTTGTCTGCACCGACAGACTGTCCAGGACACTGTGCATATCTTTCAGCACTCCATCCCCACAGAGGGGAAGCCCATCACCAACCAGAAAAACTCAGGTGAGACACATAAAACACACAAAGAGGAAATGCAGTGTGTATCATATGTAAGCCCTGAACACACACACACCGATGTTTGGTATGCCACAGTTTTTTTAACTGCCAATTAAATAATTTGACACAATTTTTATTCATCCAAGTTTTAGTGAATTACATGTTAACTACAAAAATGCACTGTGTGACATTAACACAAAACGCACAAAAAAACACAATAAAGTATATCTATACATTTGTATCCTAATTTAAACATTTTTAAAGTGTTGGAAGTTAAGTGTCTTGTTGAAATGTGTCTTACTTCCTTACTTTTACTCTTGTCTTTACACTGAGCCACGATCATAACTCTGCTGAATGACATTAAAGAGACTGACTGTGAAGTGTCAGGTATCACAGGAGTTCAGTAAAACCTTTTTAGGTCCATCTGTCCTGCGTTTGAGTCGTTTGAACCGCCTGCCTGAAGGTACAAGAATATCATGGATGTGGGGAGGGGGAGGTTAGAGGCCTTTTTTTTTTTTTTGCCCTGCTCAGATGCCCCGAGCTAATAATGTATCCAGGTGAAGCCTGGGAGTAGCCAACAATGTGCTGGTCTCCGTCTGGTGTGGAACACCTGGTGTACCTCACAGAATAGCATGGTAACATATAGTACACTCTCAGTAGTCAGGTGGTAAAAGGCTTCCAGGTGGTTTTTTTTTTTTGTTTTTTTTTGTTTGTTTTTGTTTGTTTCCCCTGATCATATATGCGCAGCACCCTGATGGACCTTTAATTACAACCAGAGTCTTGTACGACCAGACGAGATTCTCTGTTAAATGTGTCCCAAGGAACCTGAAGGAGGACACCCTCCAGAAGGAGGACACCCTCCGTTACCTTTCAGAGAGTGGTGCAGGATCACTTTTTACCTTTTGATGTCTGCTACCATGAGCAGCAGATTGTTTTTGGAGCCCCCCTCTGCAGCTTCTGGACCTCCCCACCCACCTCGTATGCTGATTCATCCCCTCCTGTGTTAAGTCTCACCACTTTGTGTCATTTTAAAATGTATTAATGGTGTTACAGTGGGGCAGAACGGTGGCACAGTTGGTAGAGCTGCTGCCTCTCAGCGAGCAGGTTGCCCCGGTTCAATTCCTGGCCTGGGGGCCTTTCTGAGTGGAGTTTGCTTGTTCTCTCTATGTATGCATAGGTTTCCTCTGGGTACTCTGGTTTCCCCCCACAGACCAAAAACATGCACGTTAGACTGACTGGTAACTCTAAATTGTCTCTAGGTGTGAGTGAGAGTGAATGGTTCGTCTCGTTTGTCTCTGTCCCTGTGATGGACTGGAGACATGTCCTGGGTGTACTCCACCTCTCGCACTGTGATGGCTGGATATGGGCACCAGTGACCTCCATGACCCGAATGGAAGAAGTGGGCAAAAGATAATGGCTGGATGGTGTTATGGAGGTGGATCTGAACAGTCTTGAGTATTCAGAACATACAGGGAAGGACTTGGGACACAGCCCTAATGGATGAAAAGCATCCATTAAGATTTGATTTGGTGCTGTGTGGAGTGGTAGTGATGGCATCCTCTGTTGATTTGTTTGCTCTAAAGAAAACTGGTGTGCATCGACTGCTGGTGGAGCAAAACTTCACATGACTGCTGACATCAGAGCGATGATCGAGTCACTTCATAATCTCTTTGAATCTCAGCTAAAACCTTTATTTAAAAGTTGGTTGCCATTGTTTTAAAGTAATACGACGACAACCCCGAATATTTCAATGTTGCTGCCGTCATATCGTGACTGACGTGACTTGGGGAATATGTTGGTGGGCGTAATGTACACTAAAGGTTTTACTGTCAAAAGCTGATCCATTGTGCCCCTATTGAAACAAGGTTTATCTAGCTCCTACAACAATCTAAAACCAAAAACGTTTGCTTGAACTCCCAAGTCATTGCCAGGAACGTCCCTGTCATTCATTGAAGTATCCATGGAAAAGAATGGATTCAAGATTTTCAGGTTACAGAGTATTGTTCATGCTGTTTCCTGTTGTGTCCTTAATAACCACATCTATCTCTCTTTTGTGTTTTCCAACAGGGAGATGTTGGATCTTCTCGTGCCTCAATGTCTTGCGGCTTCCCTTCATGAAGAAATTTAATTTAGAGGAATTTGAGTTTAGTCAGTCCTATCTTTTTTTCTGGGACAAGGTAAGGCAGCAAGACCGCTCTGCTTTTTTCACACTAGTCCTGTTTCTTTTGTCTGGCGTGTTAAGACCAAATTTAATCTCATCATAAAATCCGCTGTTCTTATCAAGTTAAAGACGTAATGCTACTGAAAGTAGTATTAGCCATGAGTCGAGCTTTAAGAATGACTTTCTTCGTTTTGCAAGTTTCGTTTGCTCAGCAGGTATTTATCTATGTTTTTTGTCTTCTTGGGCCGTTGTGGTTGAGCGGTTTGTTGGTTTATACAGATCTAGTACAGTGCTGTATGAATGGGTAAATGAGGGCACAGGTTGTGTTGTAAAGAGCTTTGAGTGTCTTGACAAGATAGAAAGCTGCTATACAAGTACAGTCCATTTACCGTTTCTTCTAGTTGTAAATCTGATATAATTTCAAAAGAAGTCTAGTCTTTTTTTTTTTTTTTTTCTCGAGCAAATTACAAATGTCATGCCTTGCTTTTGAGGTTTGCGATCGTATTTATTTAGAGTTTTAAATTGTCTTCTTCAGTGACTCATTTGTGTTGATGTTTAAACTTTAGGAGCTCACAGTACTTGTTGTAATCATGTTTCTGTTATTTCCTGTGGAATGGTTAAATCTCTGCGGCAGTGGTGGGTGTTTATGTCCTCGTCCGACCCCAAGAAAGAGAACGTCGGTTTTCATGCATGTTCTGTGATAGAACGCAGGCCCAAAATAGGTTGAAAAATAAATCTGTCTCTTATGGAAACACTGGAACTTACAAGAACCCAGTAATGTTACCAGTTTTACCAGTCTGCATGGGAAGCTGGTGCCTATTTATATTACGGTCACCGTACGTATGTAAACTTCCTGTTTTCTGGCACATAACTTCTGATATGCTAATAATAAATAAAAATTTAACAAAACTTGATACACGTATGTATCATGACTAGAGAACGATCACGCCAGCTCCAAGGTCACAAATCAAGGTCAAATGTTATACAAGGTCTTTGCTTGTCTGGACCATTGCTATAGATTTCTGTATAATAGTTTTTCAACAGGAGTATAAAGTGTGGTATGTGGTACTCTTGTTACTAAACTGTGTAGTTGGTCAACGGCAGAGGCTCTCAAGCTGTTCCGTCCAAATTTGCAATGAACTGTTATGCTAACGGTCCTGGCAGCCTATGAGATGAATGGGTGATTGTAAGGTTTGCCTTTGGTATAGTTTATGGTACCCTCATGTTTCTCCCCCTTTTCCTATTTAAGATTATTATCTGATAAGGATAAAATGGCCGCGCTCTCCTGTAGTTGCAGCTTCGTGCACTCCGCCCATCTTTCGGACGACTGTACGTACATATTCGCTTTGTACCTCGGTGCAATTCCAATAACGTTTATTCTGATTCTGATTCTGGTACTAGTTATCAACATAAACCTTGCAGTTTAACTTTGGAACCAAAGTAATAAACTTTGCTTTATTAGAGGTTAATAAATTAAACATATAAAGCTGTGCAAAGGTCTAGGGTCCGTCATCCTTTCTTGACATTTCGTTTCACACAGAACCACAGAACAGTCTTCCATTTTGCCACACTCCATTTTAAATGACCCCTGGCCCAGTGCAAACGTCTGAGCTTGTGGAGCTTGCTTAGAAATGGCTTCCTCTTTGCACTGTAGAGTTTCAGCTGGCAACAGCGGATGGCACGGTGGATTGTGTTCACCGACAATGCTTTCTGGAAGTATTCCTGAGACCATTCTGTTATTTCCTTGACAGTGGCATTCCTGTTTGAGGTGCAGTGACATTTTAAGGGCCAGGACATCATGAGCATCCAGTAGAGTTTTATGGCCTTGACCCTTACGCACAACGATTGTTCCAGATTCTCTGAATCTTTTGATGATGTTATGCACGGTTGATGATGATAACTTAAAAGTCTTTGCTATTTTACGCTGGGTAACACCATTCTGGTATTGCTGCACTATCTTTCTGCGCAACAGTGATGGAATTGGTGATCCTCTTACCATCTTGGCTTCTGAGAGACACTGACACTCTGAGAAGCTCTTTTTATACCCGATCATGTTGTCAATTGACCTAATTAGTGTTAATTGGTCTTCCAGCTGTTCGTTATATGCTCAATTTCCTTTTTCCAGCCACTTATTGCTACTTGTCCCAACTTTTTTGGGATTTGTTGACACTGTGAAATTTTGAATCAACATATTTTTCGTTTAAAATGTTACATTTACTCAGATTAAACTTTTGATCTGTCATCGATGTTTTATTACGAATAAAATATTGACATTTGCCATCTCCACATCATTGCATTCAGTTTTTATTCACAATTTGTTTAGTGTCCCAACTTTTTTGGAATCCGGTTTGTACATTTTGACAGGTACTAATCTGTTGTGAAATACATTGTTAAAAAAAAATACAAGTTAAGTTTTATACAAGGGGAAGGTTTTTGGTTACGTGTTTTGAATTGACCTTGTTTTGTGTTCATGTTTGTGCAGATTGAGCGCTGCTACTTTTTCCTCCACGCCTGCGTGGAGACGGCACAGAGGAAAGAGCCAGTGGACGGGCGTCTGGTCCAGTTCCTTCTCTCCAACCCAACTAATGATGGAGGGCAGTGGGACATGCTGGTTAATCTAATTGGTTCGTTCATGTTATTTATATGTTCTTCTTTACTGGGGTTTATGTAATAAAACTTTGGTTTTGGAAACAAACAACATTCAAGTAGTTTTTAGATGTCTGGTAAATTTTTAAACTTGTAAAAATGAACTGTATTTTACTTTTCTAAATGTAACATAGACCATCTTGTCTTTTAGAGAAGTATGGCGTCATTCCAAAGAAATGCTTTCCAGAGTCCCACAGCTCGGAGGCCTCGCGCAGAATGAACGACCTTCTCAACCACAAGGTACGTTTGGATGTTTTCTTTAACTTACAGTCATCAGAGCTCATATTGAACATCATTTAGTCATAGTATTTCTCTTGTTGTTTGTTTCAGCTGAGAGAATACTGCTTGAGACTGAGGAACATGGTGGCCAGCGACTCTTCAAAAGCTGAACTCTCTGAAGCGATCGACAGCATGATAGAAGAGGTGAGACTGCCAGGACAGATCCAGACTTCTTTTTTCTGTATGTATTATCAGGGCCAGACTTTTTGTTGTAGTCATGGGAAGTCTTTGAGAAACTTAGAAAGGCTGCTTGGGTTTTGAAATGGGGGAAGTACAGACTAGTTGTAGTTCCTGAAAATCCTGCACGTTGCAGTCGGCTGTGTTTTCCAACATTACGAGATTTATCAGATCTGCCACGCTGCCTGGACGTACAGCAGATTTTAAATGATGTGACAAAAGTAAATTCATTCATGTATATGGAAAGGATGACCTACAGAAAGTTGGCGACATGAAACTGCAGCTGCAGCACCACATTCAGGCTTTGAAATGAGAACATGTACATTCTGATAATTAGCTTTTTCTGATTCTCAATATACGTATCGGTCAGTTTTAAAGACTAATTTCATGAAACTTGGCCAGGATTTGTTTCTTAATGTTGAAATTTCATGACCCCCTTTATTGCAAGGTGTATCAAATAGGAGATCTGCACAAAGCATGCACTCGTTACCTACACAGGGCTATTCAACAGGTGGCCCGGGGGCCAAGTCAGGCCCACGCATGTGCTCAGTATGGCCCACCAATGGGTTCATTTTTAAATAAAATTATTTTAAATTGTAAAACAACCTTACTTAATGAGAATAACATCTGGATGTGTCCATTGATGCAGTGATCTAAAGCACTGATTAGTCTAATGATTTGTTCAATTAGCTTTGTATAGATCTAATAGAGTGCTGTATGAATGGGTAAATGAGGACACAGATTGTGTTGTAAAGTGCTTTGAATGTCTTGATAAGATAGAAGGCGCTATACAAGTACAGTTCATTTACCATTTACCAAATCAGGGAGTATCATGAACAGTTTATGTCCTGATGCTGCTCAATAATCCAGGTAGATGACTCTAACAAGGTTAAATCAGGTCTTCTGAACAGATTCTTCTTTGATGAAACGTTTGGTCTTTTATCCAGAAGACTTCTTCAGTCCAAGACCCTGTCAAAAACTCACTCCCACACGCTGCATCCAGCCTCAGCTGTAGAAACCTCCCTTTACTGTTTGTTACAATGATTAGGTAGCATCAACAGCGTGTTTTGAATTTAGGTGATATTTCAGGCTTGAACTACTCCTGTGGTAAAACAGTTTACACACAGCTTACAGATAACTTTACTTCTATCCAGCCTGCCTTCAGGAAATGAATTAACTTAATAATGCCCATGTAAAGTCTGGTACTTTTCTCCATGTTTCTGTCCTGCTGCTCAATTTCTGACAGGGTTCACATGAGCGCTGTGCAGCAGCAGCCCTACAAAACAAAGGCTCTCACTGGTTGTGACGATATGATGATGCTCATCCATAGCCAGTAGTGATCAACATCCCGCCCCCCTGTGACCAATGTGTCTGTCTGTGTGTCTGTGTCTTCATAGCCACTGAGCAACCGACTTCAAAATTAAGAAAAAAAAGGTGTTAAAGCGATAACGTATTAACGTCCCCAGCACAAATATATATCTATATGTCTGTCTGTCTGTTGATGGGTAGATCGATCGGTAGATGGGTGGATCGATCGGTAGATGGGTGGATCGAT